CATGACCCATGCTATGACAAACAGAGTGTTATCTGCTGCAACAGCTTTGAATACTGATGTTGTTGACAGTTTAAGGAGCAAAGTTATTCAGACTTTTGAGGCCTTGGGTATTGACCTGGAGAATGAAGAATGTAAGAATCTCTTAGCTGAATTTGATTCAAAAACAAATATTCACAAGGTAACAGCTATTATACTAACCGACCAATCAGATCAGGTTATGCAGTCAGCACTCGATGTTAAGTGCTTATAGCACTCGTTTTCTGCACTCAAATATTCAGCACGTTTCGGTTTCCTTGTTAAAGTTAACCCGTCAAGTGCTGATTTTGGCACTTCAAGTGCAGAATCTCACTCAGCACCCAACATTTAGCACCTCAGTTTTTTGCGTGTAACCCCTTGACCATTTTGGAGTGCGATGGGGATAACTATCTAAGTTGTTGACAATATAAAATAAATCAACTTGCGCTTTTGATGTAATAGTCACAATGTAAACAATTATTTCAATAGAGAAGCAATGACATCAACCTGTACACTTCCAAATGGTTTTAATGCACATGCAGCCATTATTAGTCCTTACTTTAAAGAAAAGAAAAATTACATTTCAACTTTGATCTATTTATATAAAGTACATGTAGTTTTTAATTAAAAAGTACACAATGTACAATGAACAGTTACTTTTCTACTATGCAAAACTTGAGACTTGATAGGTCATAATATCGCGGGCATCCATCTTGATCTACTGAAGATCTTAAGCAAGTTCCCACGAGCTTGAACTCGCGTAAACTCGCCTGCACTTGCTTGAAATGACTGATCTACGACGCAACATCGAGTTTCCTACGATGGATGTACGCAGGGACGTCTCCAAAGGGGGGGGGGGGGGGGTGTGGGGTGCGACACCCCCCCCCCCCCCCACCTGTCAGGATATTGTCGTTAAAATTGCGCTGCCGTCGGGGGAAAAAGAGAAAAGGGGGAGGGGAAAAAAAGAGAGGGAAAGGGAAAAAAGAAAAGGGAGGAGAGGAAAGAAAGGAAAAGAAAGAATAGAAAGGAAAGGAAAAAAGAATAAAAAAGAGTTAAAGGGAAACAGAAGAAACGGGGGTGAATGAGAGGAGAGAGAGGGAAGGTAAGAGCATGAGAGAGGAGGAGTGGGAGTAAAAGAGAGAAGGGGGTTGTTGGGTGGAGTCGTCTCGTCGAGGGAGCAAGAAAGACACGGGTAAATATGTTGCTGTGTCGGGTCAGCTGCATGTGTCGGTATTCTTGCTCGATCCTCATGTACTATCAATGCAGAAGTTTGAAGTCGGTGAGGTGTATATTGTCGGTCGGCCGACAAGTTTTCCCTACGAACTGTGACTTTTTATCCGCTGTGACGACTTCGAGAGTGACTAAAATTACAATAATTGTATTTTCTCGAAGTTTTACTTTCCTATAATATCAGCTAAAGAAATCAGAGGTTCAAAACCTGCCCCCCACCCCCTACTCCGGGGTCGGAATGACCGCATGCGTGTTACCAAAATGTCCGGTAAAATGGTACTTTTCGTGCGACAAAGTCCGGCCCGAGAATTGTAAGAAAATGGGGTGTATTTGACTTTCACCCGGAGATTTCTTTAAAAAGGGGGTGTTTTTTTTCTTTTTTCTCTCATCTCTTTGGATTTCTGAGAAATTATTCCGAATTTAGGGGGGTAAATTAAGCATTTTCCCGAATTTAGGAGGGTACATTGAGCATTTTTCCGAATTTAGGGGGGTCTCCAAAACAGGAAAAGCCCGCGAAAGGGGGGGTTCGGAAATGTTGGCAGTCCTCAGATAGGGGGTGCTTTCAAAAAGAGGGAACGAGCATATGCATACCCTAAATAACACTGAGTGGGGGGGGGGGCGGGGTTTAAAATCGTCTTCCTTTCTCGCGCGGAAGGTGAAAACTTTATTTAGACGAGTCGAGAACGGTACAACGAATCGTCTTCTTTCTCTAATAATTTAAGGAAACGTCAAAGCTTCCGCGCTTCGCTTCGAATTCAGACAAATAGGGCTTATTATACCCTTGCCGTCCTTTTTCCAAAATTCACGCCTGACGGTCTAGCACGACACGGCACAGCCTCCTGAGGGCATCCCGTGTGATCCGTTGTTTGAGCATAGATTTAAACGCTCGCGGGGTAGAAACCGGAAGTCTTCTCCCTGATTCACGTACGTGATCGGCCGTGAAGATGGATGTAAACAATGAGGTTTGCTGAACATATATGTCAATATATGTTCAGCAACGTGTTTGACCTAAATTTCGCGATAACATTGAAAATTTGAAATACAAATAGATCACATTGAACCTTGATTTTCAATTTGTCTCATGAATTTTTTTTAAATTGTTTATAAGAAATATATTTCGTGTAGACATCGTCAATTTTTATTTTTTTCTGGGGGATCCACAAACTACAAGCATCGCTTTTTAGTGGATCCCCCCCGTTTCCTCAGAACTTAAGAATTTCTTGTAAAACTTTTATTATGTGCAAATTTTATTTGTATAGTTTCCTGAAAAAAATTAATTATGTATGAAAAAAACGGAATATCTTTGTTTACCTTTCTGTTGGAAATGAAATAAATATGAATATGAATATGAATATGAATGAGCGGCGCTGTCTAGCGAGGTTTTTTTTTTTTTTTTTTTAATTTTTATTTGTGTACTGCTGTAGAGATTGCGTGCACTTTTTCACTGTGGACGTGTTACCATGTACCTCGTGATTACCGCAGACATGCATTGTAATTTAAACGGCACCCGCGCTCATCTCCTGTTTGAGAAGGAATGTCTACCCGCGTTTACCTCAGAGGCTCAGATCATGTAGTAGGTCCATGCTCAGACAGTCGTCTGGTGTGACACAGAGTACGTGACGTAGATCTAAACAGGATATGATGTATTCATCAAACAAATTGCGAAAGGGGAAGTCTAGACCCTGGACAAATATTAAAAAGGCTTTATTAATCACTAGAATGAATCAGATGTAGTTATGACATCATGCCAAATAATTTGTCTCCACGTGTTCTATGTGTTCTATTAATACCCCGATCATTGGAGTTCAAACAATTTGTGCATCTGATTACTTTTTGTATCCAATGAAAGTCTCGATATGAAGTCAAATTATGTGTCAACTGGAATAAAGAAACTGAGAATGAATAGAGAACCTGAACGAATGCATGGATGGATCCTCAAGGAGCAACTTGGGAACAGGAAACCCAGGCAGCCACTATACTTAAACAACAAAAAGTACCCCCCCCCCCCCCAACAAAGACAAACATAATTATAAACACGGATCCATCTTGGACAGGTGAACGTACTTTCATCATCAAAAAGTCAACACAACAAAGACAACACGGATCCATCTTGGAAAGGTGAACGTACTTTAATCATCAAAAAGTCAACACAACAAAGACAACACGGATCCATCTTGGAAAGGTGAACGTAGTTTCATCATCAAAAAGTCAACACAACAAAGACAACACGGATCCATCTTGGACAGGTGAACGTACTTCCATCTACAAAAAGTCAACACAACAAAGACAACACGGATCCATCTTGGACAGGTGAACGTAGTTTCATCATCAAAAAGTACAAAATACAAAGACAAACACGGATCCACCCTTGAAATAAGAGCGTTCTTATCATGAAAACAAGATAATTCGGGGCTCATTATGAGCTATATCTCATGCGGAAGGAAACAATTAAATAACATTTCATGACCAAAGTTGATTTTATCGCAATATTGTAGGCTAACAACAATATTACTGCTGGAAACATTTCCTCTACAGACACCCCCTTCCGATCCAAGAATGCCGTTGATCATTGCGTGATCACATTCAACAATCTGCTATCATATCTAACATCCTGTACGTGAACTTATGATTCATTACATATTCGTCTATACTGCTCTCCCTTAAAAAAGTAACGGACGCTAGTATGCATTCCCCCCAAATTGTACGTATGACTGCGTCAGCGAATAACTGCGTCAGCGAATGGTGCAGTCTTGACGCGCCATGAGTTGGGGATATTCCCTCACAAGACAAGTGTGTAAAAAAAAAAACGCATCACGGGGGATATCATACAAACAAAATATGATTGCAGTATGAAAAATGCGTTAACATGGGTCAGATTACTAACAAATCCGGGCTAATTTTATTCACTAGCTAGATTGATAATAGTAGGCTTTATTGACGCAATCGAATCGACACCTCGTGTACGGGTATAACGCCGGCTGCATTTTCTATTCAGGCGCTATTATCAAAGACATTCGAATTGATAAGTGGACATGAAAGGCTCAGACGAAGACTCTAGAAGTAGTTTACAGAACGCGGCCTGACCCAGACTTTTTGGTTTCTGATTTGACATAACACTAGTGTGGTAAATTAGTTAATTTACATAGACCATTTCGTTTAAAAAAACCTCGCCAGTCGCGAGCGTTGTCCTGCGTTAGGGAATCACGCTTCTAGCGCGATGGGTATATACGGATCATTATTTTGGCGCAGAGCATTGACGCCTCGTGTGCACCCGGATGCATATCAGTGTTAAACGTCACAAAGGCCTAATATAATATCTGTAAAGCGCTTTGAGAGAGCCTGCGGTCTTGAAAAGCGCTATATAAGAACGAGCTATTATTATTTGGTCGTATTGTTACTTGTTAGTATAAGTATTAGAAGTAGTAAAGCAGTAATAGTATAGGTAATGTAGTAGTAGCATCAACAGCAACAATGGTACTACTACTACTACTACTAGTAGTAGTAGTAGTAGTAGTAGTAGTAGAAGTAGTAGTAGCAGTATCAGTGGTAATAGGAGTGGTATATAGTAATAGTAGCGGTGGTAGTAGTAGTAGTAGTAGTGGTAGTGGTAGTAGTATAGGCCCCTAGAAGTAATTTAGAAATTTAGTATTGTATTCATTTATTCAATAATAATTAATTATTTTATTTATTTATTTATTTGTGTATTTCTTTATTTATTAATCTACAACATTCAACTCTTATTTCCCCCATTTTAGAGCACGATACGGATAGGACTACAATGGATCCGAAATGGGAGGACGAGCTGGAGTCGCATCGGTTCGAGATGACCCGAGTTCTCCGACCGGATCGGTACTTCGAAAAGTTTCGGAGCGAGCGAATCCTGGACGAGTTCGACACACAAGTCATAAACAACGAGACGAAAAATCCCACACGGGACAAAAAAGCAGGTTAGTATTTTTGTGATCTGATATTTGGGTCATTTGAAGAATTTGCCCTTAATTTCCGCAAGCTTTGCAAATACCCTCAACAACAATCGACAAATACAAAAAATGAAAAAATTAGAAAGTCATGTAGACCCTAATATTTCTCTCTCTCTCTCTCTCTTGGTCTCTATTTTCCTGAATTATGTATCCCCTCTCCTCTCCCTCCCCATCTCCCCCCCCCCTCTCTCTCTCATCGTGCACATGCAAAATAAAAAGATCTCGTTCCAAAAACTGCTGTTTACTTTAGAACAACCTTGGAAACATTTAACATACACATTCATAAAACATAATCATAAATGTATTTATCCATAAAACTCCCACGTTAACGAATCGAATGCTAAAAGAGGTTGAAATTATTACAGCTGTTCACAAGTTTCCTGAAAGCGAAATACAAAAAAAAATTAAGTACAAGTAAAAACCAAATGTTGTCATAATAATGATATTACAAGGCTGCAGGATAGTAGAGAAAACGTTTGGTTACAAGGCAGGTCAATTGTTATGTTTATCAATTGTGACTGTTTTCAGTATCATCAAAATCTCTCGATCTGCGTTCTGTCAACGATATGAATTAGATATGATTTGTATCCTGCAACTTTCTAGATGATTATTTCAAAACGCAAAATCTATTAAGACTAATCGAATTTGTTGATTGAATCTGTGTGTCCATCATCCGGGACATCCAACTCGGCGCCATTGTGTCATAGAATGGTTACGGTATACAATATGACATCATTTTGATAAAGGTTTATATCGGGCCTCTAGTTATGCACCTGTGCAAAGACTTTATTCGCTTCAATACTTTAAAGATGAAGACCACAGATAGAACTGGGCCCAACATACTCGCAAATACACCCTCACCATCTCCCTTTCAATCCAGAATGGTTAAGCGACGCTCAGCTGCTTTGAGCTAGAAATGAGAGTACTCTTTCCCTTTAAGTATATTTTCAGTATATTCAGTATAATCCATCGTTTTACGCATTACATGTGAAGATAAACAGTTTAAATTAATGACCGTGTCAGGTTGTCTACAAAACGTGTTCTGCTCTGAGACTCGTGGTTTTAACATTTCCGCTTAACGTGTCCGGTAAAGTGCAATTGAAGTTATAGGTTTCTTCCTTGTAGCATTTCCTTGCTTTCATTTCCTTTCTTTACAATTTAAAAATCGAAATAGATTCTAATATATATATATATGTAAAGGTTATCTTGAGGTTCTGGTAATAGATGCGTCACCAGGCAAGTTGGAATGTTAGGGGGTCGCATTTAAAATGCCGTCATGATAACAAAGAACAGTCATACACACAAACAAACAAAACAAACAAAATGAACAAAACAGCGCCTCTCCGAAATTTTCCCGAATTGATTATAGAGGAGGGGAGTTACACACTATTATGGTTACCCAAACCACCCCCTTATAAAACAGCATTTCAATAAACACACTTCCATATCTATGATACTCCGCAGTATAGGGAAGGTTTGGCCTCGGCGAAAGTTTACGGCCTATAGTTGAATCGATCGCAAATACTCAGTAATTTTGTAGTATCAAATACGTCTTTTAGAACGCCAAATTCAAGACTATCTGATGATAGGATTGTAAAGTAGTTACTTTGACTTTAGAGGTCCCTTTTTTCTTCAGTTGGCACTGTATAAAACTTGACACCTCATCACCGAGTTGACCTAAGTAAATAGTTTTTAGGGCAATCCCACCCTTGTAATAATGTAATTTGTATATGAAAACGGAGAAATAAAAGAAAAAGAATGGCGGTTGTTTGATATAATTCGGACCAATAATAAGAAAGTTGTGAGTATTTGAAATATGGGATCACTATAATTATATGCGAATCGAAAATTGGAAATTTGGTTACTTGAATGTGACGTATATGCACGGACTACTCTCCCGTTTGTTGTGTACGAAAATATCATACATTTTTGTTTTACTCCTAAACGCCTTCTTCCTTGGGGCACGTCTCAAAATGTATTGTGCATATATCATTAAAGTCTGTCCCTTTTGCAGCCAAAATCAAATTCTGTAGAACTTTGCAGGAATTATGAATATGTCATGTGTGTCCTATCTGTGAAATTTAAACGTTTAGCAGTGTCATAATATTCAAATTCTGCAAAGAAACCCGTTTACTTGCTAGACTTCACTGTCAGACACTATTGAGTGACTGACTGGCTTTTTTCTTCTTTGGTGATAACATACAAAAATGAGCTGTAACGGGTACATGAGCATTTGTCTACATCAATAACCCACTCCTTGTAATGGCCAAAATTAAACTGATTGAATCTTTGCGCAGCATAACACGTACGACCATTAGGTACAATAGTCTGAAAATCAGACTATTACTTACTGGCTCTATAGCTCTTAAGTCGATTCGACAACTAATAGTCGTTCATTTCCCACTTATAGACATTTTCAAGCCCCCCCCCCCTTTTTTTTTTGTTAGGGAAGTTCTAAATTAGTATCTTTCAAATGCCGTTGGAAACTAACTTTTTCATTTTTGGGGACTGCAAATGGGACATAGAACCTTTAAAGGTTTTCTAAAAAGGAAAGAATCATAGTATTTTAAAAGAAATTGACCTTTTAATCATTTTTTTTGTGTTGAAACAATTAATGTGAAATTTGTCTGGCACTTAATGAAAGCGATACTACCTATTCAGCACATTTGAAGTGCCCGTACATAGTGATTATAACTTTCGAAATTCATAACTTTTTCATATTTTGGGGTCCGATTTCGTTCAAACTTTCACCGATTTGCTTCTCCGATTTTTCTGCTTTCTTTTAGAGTAGCTTGCTATCAAGGTTTGATTTCCCTTAAATTACCCGACCCTTCTCAGCTGTAGGCCTGTATTTACTTGTTCTGTGGAATGCAATGATAATCAATCTTTTCATTGTGTATTCATAATAAATAATTGGTCGTTGTGCGTTACAGCGTCAACACTCAGAGACCACAATAGGATCTGTACTTTAGCCGCTCCTGGCAGAAACCGACAGATCTAGGCTCTGCTCAAGGCTTTAGGGATTGTGGTAAAGTGTCAAATTAGGTGTAGATCCACTTTTTGCTTTCATACAAGTACTCTTGCCTTCTTAGCGATCATGTATCTTTAGTCTTTAAAGGTATTTAGACAGTTCTGATATTTACAGATTGTGAACCAATGTGTAATCAAACGTAAGGAAACTCAACAAAGTTCTGTGCCTGCATTTCCATAATTTGATTAAACGAATTCGTTTTACTGGCTGCCTGCCATAGCAACAAACAGAGTTGACAAAAGACTTAACTCCGTTGCGTTGACGATCAGACATGCAGCAAAAAGACTAAAGACTTCATGCATTACTTTAATCAAACACAACTTCGTTATTCCTGGCTCATTTTTCGTGTTTGAGATATCATAATTATGAAAGGGCAGGGAATGAACTTTCTAGAAATGTGATTTGTTTTTCTTTGAAATTCAGATACCGTCCGCCGAATGGCTTTTTGGTTTCCTTTCCTCAAATTGCTTTTAATCCCTCATGCGTGAAATATGCATTATTATGAGTCGCATCAAAATGAGAGGAGGATCTAAGCTTTACAAATATGTGTCATTTATTATTTAAATTGTGGCTAAGTTATAATTTAAAAAAATCGAACATTCTCGGTTTCGTTTTTTGGGGGACGCACTGTATAACATCATCATCAGTGATCTGTCAGTTTATGACAGGTTCAGTGACCCAATCAGAGTTCTACTTCATTGTCTCTCCAAATACTTCGGTCTTTATTAGTATAACATAATATGATAATAATAATAATAATAATAATAATAATAATAATAGTGGAGTCTTGAATAGCGTTCATGTGTGGCACATTGCCTGCAATGTAAAAATGTTAACGTTTGTTTACTAACATGCTTTTATCCCCAATATCCAAACACATGCACTTAAACATACATTTATAGGTGAATTCAAACACTTGAAACGCAGGTAAATTTAGCATTTATTGTTAAACAATCAATTTATCCGCTTGTTAGCAAACAATTTTGTCTCTTACTGTTGAATGTTGAATGGTTTATCCGCTTTGAAATTGTTCAAGCACATACAAATTAATGGGTCAACCGTTGTTAAATTTAGAGTGTGGCGCTCCTTTGTTGTGACCCTTGTTTTAGCACGGCTGTTGTTACAGCGTTCCACCAGGGACTTGATAGACAAGTCCCTGGTTCCACCATTTCAAGGAACTAATTCCTGTCAGGTACCCATTTACCTCACCTTGGTGGAGTGTTGCAATTGTAGATTAATGTCTTGCCAAAGGTCATTAGTTTTTCTCTTTTTTACCACAGTTAGAACATCTGCTATCAGCCACAGGGCTGTTTTTCAGCAAGTCCGTGGTTCACATACCGGAGACTACTAAGGACTTTTAGATTGAGTGGACGTACGAGAACGGCGTGAACTTCCACTGATCATGTGTGTCTATGACAAGCCGTTTTCACATTTATTCCTATTTCTTGATATCAAGAATTACCATTGCTTACAATAGAAAATCATATATTGATATCAAGTATCCAATTCTTGATATCAAGAAATAGGAATAAATATTATAACGATGACATGGACACGCATGATCGGTGGACGTTCACGCCGTTCTCGCCCACTCAATCTAAAAGTCACTAATATCTACTATCTGTGTTCAGCAAGCCATATCCCCATTTAAAAAAAACAATTGTTCACATGTATACACAATTCTAAAGTACACATAATAGATGGCGTGAGAGTCTAACTTCAGACACTTGTTTAAACGGAAATTGAGCCCGCCGACCTTCGGCTTCGGCAAATTGAAACTAGGGGAATGTCCCGTTATTTTTCCCCAGTATGGTTTGAAAACTGATACTATAATTTTTCATTCCTTTTCCAGCTATTTCGTCAGTCGTTAGAGATTTCGAAAATGCGTATCGGAAATCAAGTGAATAAACATTTTGTAGAGAGAACCGTGGGATAATAGTTGCACAGAATGGGAAAGAGAGACAGAGTGACAGGTTAAGGAGTGAAGAGGGAAGAACAGAACGAGAGAAGGAGGAGATACATATTAATTGTAAGGAATGAGAAAGCCAGGAAAAGAAAAAGAAAGAGAGAGAGAGAGAGAGAGAGGAAGATGATATCTCTGAATCATTTAGGCCCGCATTTAGCCCTATATTATATTCTGGGAAGAAAATGATTAAATTAACTTGTCCTAATAAAAGAATGTTGTTTTACTTTGTATTTTAATGGTATTTTTTAAAACTAGCTTCGATGACGTAGGCTATAATGTTTGCAGATGGATTTTATTCTTTTGTCTCATTTCCCCCTGATAATATATGTGAATTCCAGCTTCCACCTCGCTAGAACAAATAAAATGAACTCTGAATTTAATAGCCAACATAGTTACTCACTCGATATTGATGAAGGTGTTTGAAAAATGAAGATGAAATCGGAGTGCATTCAAGAAAACTACTTTTAAGTGCATTTTCCATGAAGTAAGCGAATCCGGTAAAAATGTTGAACAAATAATAAATAGAAATTTGCACGTTCGGTACTCTTGGGTACCGAGGACGAGTTTGGACTTTGGATTCAATACTTTTCAGTTCAGTTTCATTTTCAGTTTATTGTTTTCCATATTACAATATAAAACAGTTCTTCATAAATTATAATCATACAAAAGAAAACTAAATCCTGCTACAAAGTTAGTTATTGATCGAGTTATTTAACAGCTTTCACAAGAAGACGGATATATATATTGACAGTGAAATATGACAAAACCTAATAAAAAGCAAAGCTTGTAAAGAATAGGTTCCGTACAAAAAATGATGAAGAAGATCGTCGATAATTTGACATGGCGCGATGAGAAGGATATTAACAAAAAGCGTTTATGCAATATACATGTATATGATATATATCGTAGACCGGAGTTTTAAATACAAAAAAACTTATATATTCAAAAGTATATATTATATCAGAATTTTTTTCAAAAATAATATATCTATTACTAGAAAACACGAGACAAAACCTTGAAGTAAACATACAGAAGCCATATATATATATATATATATATATATATATATATATATATATATATATATATATATATGCATGGGGAGCATTTACATATATTAATTTACATATCAATTAACATATATGTATGCAACCTTTTTGTAAACTTTCAAAAGTGCAATAGGCCTACTCTACACTGTTCCTTCTATAAATATGTTAGTATTTCTAGTTTTATTTATTTGTTTTTGCTTTTGTTTATAGGCATGGTTTTGTTAGTGTAACCATGCATTCAGTATTTTATTTTAACAATTGATAATAAATATTGTATGATTCAAATAGTGTTATTTTAAAAAAGATATATGTTTAATTTGATATTTCACACGTATGTATATGATTGCATTATTCGGTTTCAATTGGTCATACTCTGATGTACATTCTTTGTTGGGTGCTTGCCTAACAAAGCAACATGCGCTATATTGCGTCCAACTTGCACAAAATATGTTTACACAATACAACGACGACTGTAAGCAAAAGCTTAAAGGGACGCCCTTTAAGCTGAAAGGAGAAAATGCACGTTTTTTGGATGAAATATTTCCCAAGATTGTGTCAAATTTTACCTAACAAGCATAAAACCTCATTTTCAACCAAATATTGGGTATAATTTTACGCATTCTTATTTCGATAACGTCGTCCACAATGAATCTTGGTACTCAAGTGCTAGATTTGTTCGCCCTTCCCTTTGCGAGAACAAGATCATAAATATAACGATCTCAAAACTAATCAATTTCCCAATTTTTCTACATTAATAACGCGTTCAATGAAATGTTGTTGGAAGTCTCATTCTAATGCATTATGAACTTGCACCTTAAACCTTGAACTTTGAACCTTACACTTTGACCAGGTCAATTTCTCGACATCGTGCGAGAACGAGGTCACGTGGCCTACAAACTGCTCCTAGAATGCATGGAAGCCGATCACCCGGATCTATACATGAACATCACCGGTATTAACCCGGAACCAAAATCATGGACGATTGGCCTCAGCAAGACTTGCTCTTGTGAATGTAAGTTGTTGCCTTAAAGGTAAAGACCAGTATTGGAAATTCCCCAATTTCAAAATTGAAATGGAAGCTCTCATTACCAATCATGTGAAAGAATATGTTTTGACTAATACATGATGATAAAAAATGTGCCGGGAAACCGCCTACTAATTCATATATTTGGTAAATTTGTTTCTCTCATGGTCTGAGAGAGATATAGGGTAGTCCCATATACATCTTTCTGTGTATAGTGCTTGTAACTTTACGAAGAATGGGCCAAATTTCTTATCATTTTGATGATTCCAGAACCTTGCAGATGCTAGATGCTTGATGATCAACCTTTTCTGATCGATTCCACAACGTTTCTTTCACAATGCAATCGCATGACCATAACTGGTCTTTACCTTTAAATGTGTCAATTTGTCAAATTAAATCAGATCAAATCGAATCGTTTCCACTATGGAAATACTACAATTATCAATGAAAAGGTAATACAAAATGCTGATTATTATTTATTATTATTATTATTATCATAATATTATTACTATCATTATTATCATTATTAAATGACTGAAGTCAAACAAGATTTTGTTGTGGGTTGGGATTAGTTAACGATACAAATTCTACTTTCTCATGTACAGATAGTCAATAATCAGTCAAGTTTATTATAATTGAAGTGAGAGCATAACATTTATTAAGACGAAATAATTCATAAAGTTACAAATACTATAATATCGATTGGTTGAAATCTAGACTAGCAAGTCTGATGGTGACTATATACTCCGTATACTCAAATGTACTCTCTGATAATGTATTGAAAAGTGACCGTGAAATAAATAAACACTTAAACTTCCTGTTAACTTCCTGTATAAGTATTAATAAAGTACTGATAGATTATTGATGAATATAAATGTTAGTCTTATAATCACATAACCCTCTCTGTTCAAGGAAAGTATATCCTGAAAGCATCTATGTTTTATGTACTTTTATCATCTTACATGTATATATACACTTACAGAGCTTTGTTGTAGCGATTTGATCACCAGTTGTCGGAGCATGGGTGTCAACAGCCAAACAATTACACGTTTTGCCAATTTTTATCCTCCCCCCTCCCCTCACCCCACCTTTTTTAAAGGCATTTTTCACCATGAATGGTTAACTAGACTTTGTGAACTTTCGTTGTTTTTACTCATGTCTTGGGTGAGGCTAGACAGTTCATCCGTTGCCAGTTCAATTGCATTTGTCCTACCACTTTTCATTTAAAATGCGCAACATCAGTTGGTTAACTTTGCATCAAAAAAATAGTAGACAGTATGTTACTCGGTATTGTTTTTAAAAAAGTAATCTTTTTGCCCAACTCTTTTGAAAGCTTTAACATCAAACACCCATGATCATAGCAAGGGTGGTGGCCCGGGTGGTGGGTAATTGAGGACAAATATTGTGGTCAAGTTGTAGTCGGCACATCTTAGTATGAACCACCACCCATGCCCTGTCCTCCTCTGAAATAATTAGAAAGCGTTTATCTCTTTAAAATTAACATGAACATGACATCACCAACGCTACCTTGTGGCGGGGGTAACAACGTATAGGGCCATGATCATATTTTTTAAAAAAAACACTGAAATTCAAACGTGTTCATCTTCTTATTCTTTCTCGAAGCCCACGACGATCATATCTTGCTATATCTAGTGGAGGCTTGCAGAAAATAGAAGCAGCATTTACTCTTCGACAGTGATCAGTCAAGCTTTACGTCATCTTTGATGCAGGGGGGGGGGGGGGGGTTAACACTTGGTCACAATACAGAGTTCATGATGTATCATGTAGATCAATGGCCGTTTGACATGCAGGCACGTAGCCACGACGGGGGGGGGGGGGGGGGCACGTGCCCCCCTAAATTTCCAGGATCGGTTGCATTTTTTTAGACCCCTTTTTTGACCTCGATCGATTACAATATTATGTGCACCCCCCCCCCCCCCAAACATCAAACTCTGGCTACGTGCCTGATGACATGAATAAACTCAAGTTCAAGCGGCTTCGTCTCCCGTTCTTTTTCCTAGGCCACGACGATCGGATCTCGCTGGATCTGATGGAGGCTTACAAGAAGGAGAAACAGCAGAACATCTCCCTGAGGAGAGAGCTTGAGAAATTCACCAAGACCTATGACAAGGGACTCGAGGAGAAACTCAAGCTGAAGCACGTGAATGAAACCATGAAAAAGCAACTCGACGTGCTACAGTCAGAAACAGGAGAAGTACAAAAGGTAAGACCTCAACCATGGGCGTTTAATTTTTTTCCGGGGCAGTATAGGGGGAGGGGCCCTTTAACCCAAAGCAAACAACAAATATATACTGTGAGTTATTGCAATGTTATGGGGGAACAAACACTCTAGTTCCCTGAGTGGACACAACTAAAATGACTGAATGAGGGTGAATTGTGAAAATATTTTCCGTTTGACACCATGCTGATATTGAATATGACCTCTAAATAGAACCTATTATATTTCTATGTTTGTTTCGTTTTCTTTTCTCCTTTTCTACTGTACATTCCTGTTTATAGGGTTAACGAATTCTACCTTTAAGCCATAGTTGGGTATTATATAGGCCTAGCAGAAGCTAATCGAGGGGAACAAAGTTTGGGGGTCGGGAATAACTTTAATCCCCAAACCCCTTTTTTGATTTTCAATAGAGCTACAAGCATGCATAGAAGACTCGTAAAATCAATATAGGTAAACCTATACGACTATAATTATGATAGACACTTCTGCTAATCTTTCGCTTGCCCTAGTTGCCGTACATCTCACTTTACTGTCAACCTTGGCAATCTCTCAGATAGGATGTAAAATAAAACTCATATGAATAAATTGTAGAGCCTCTGTAATTAACTAATCGGAGACAAACAGCTAAAAAAAAAAAAAGATTTGCGAGTGGAATGTAAAATTTGAGTTAAGTTGACATAATTATATGCATATTGCATGAACAGTTCGATTCATGTGCAGACAATCGGGAGGTTTGAAGAATTATTTCACTGACTGATAATAAAGCATGTGTATCATAGTAAGTAACCAGGGGACCGACTGCTTTAAGTCCTCTCCGATAGACTTGGTTATGAGGATTTAATGCCTTACCAAAGCGCACCAGCGAATCAAATTGGGTTCTACCATTGAACCATCTCGTCACCTCTTTATTACCTTATTTTCCAATTTATATTTATTTTATCCAGTTAAAGGACGAAATCCAGTGGAAGCGATTTCAGATATGTGATCTTCAGGCGAAAGCTTACGAGGCCCAGACGCAGTTGATTTCGTCCAACGATAAACTCAGAAAGGTGAGCGTCTTATTCAAAGCCACACTGCACTACGTATAGCTACATGCGCCCTCTATATAACAAACAATGCCTAATCAGTGCCTGTTGGTCCCCCACGATCCTCTTTTTAAAATGTTAATTGAGAGCTGATTCGATGAGGTAACCACCTGTCAGTGACCTTGCAGGGAGGTCTAATCCCCCTGGCCAAACTAGTACTTATAGGTTTTAAGGGTTATCTTGTGATTTGTTGTGTCAGAGCACGAATGGAGAACCTGAGACTCAGAATAAGAGGGAATTCCGATAGCTCGCAAGTGTATTGGCTAATAAAATATCCACACAGAAGAAAAGGAAGAAGAATTAAGCGGGGCTTATGTAACTTGGTGAAATAATAAATATGTGAAAAGATAGAAAATGGGGCAACGTACGGATAACAGGAGACGAAAAGGAAAATAGATAGGGACCTCACAGTCGACTCAAGTAATGACCACAATGCATGATTATCATTGCTCGCTGTACTTGACATTTTGAACTGTCATATCCAAGGGATGTAGATATGAATTTCTTTCACTCATCTAGTGTCGATGGATGTTGTCAGTAGGATCCCACTGCGTTTATCACATGGCAAATGAAATAAAACTTGACGCAGAATGTGACTGAAGACGTGGTGATTATCTTTTAATGGGAACAAGAGGTTGATAATTTTAAAGAATTCATGGTGGTTTTAATTACCTGCGAAACACTTGTAGTATCCCACATTCAATTATTGTAACCTTTTACAACAAAGTCACTTATATTGAGTAGTAGTAGCTGTAGTAGCAGCAGCAGCAGTGGCAACAGGGGTAGTAGTAGTAGTAGTAGTAGTAGTAGTAGTAGTAGTAGTAGTAGTAGTAGTAGAAGTAGTAGTAGTAATAATAATAGTAGTAGTAGTAGTAGAAGTAGCAGTAATAATAATAATAGTAGTAGTAGTAGTAGTAGTAGAAGTAGTAGTAGTAGTAGTAGTAGTAGTAGTAGTAGTAGTAGTAGTAGTGGTAGTAGTAGTAGTAGTAGTAGTAGTAGTAGTAGTAGTAGTGGTAGTAGTAGTAGTAGTAGTAGTAGTAGTAGTAGTAGTAGTAGTAGTAGTAGTAGTAATAACAGCAGTAGTAGACGCATTATAAGCTTTATTGAAGAAACTTTGTAGCGCAAGATCTTTGATTTTTGTTTTATTTGGGGGTTAGGTGAACCTGGAAAACAATGCCTTAGAGAACAAGGTCCGGGAGGCCCAGGCCAGGCTGACTCTCCAACGCAAGAAATCAACACGGTTAGAGCAGGAGAGATCGACGGACAGGATGCAAGCCAGCGAAACCCTGAGGTCACTCGTCGACCAACTCCATGAACTAGGTCTGGACCGAGCCAAAAAGATGGAGGTAAGGATTTTAATCAGTCCCCTTTTCAGCAGTCCCCTCCATGGCCAACCTGTTTTATATGCCTTTTGTACATTGTAGACCAATTACAAATATATTGTTAAGTTTCATTGTTTTACTATGTACAATGCAATCCCATGTACTTTATTTTATTTTGTTGAAAATGGAAATAAACGCTTTTTAATTTTTATTTTAAATCTTTGACCCAGAGCTTCTCCACCAGCCTCAGCCAGATATATTCGGAAAATACATTTGTCATATATTTTTTAATTGAGGTATAAATTTTATCGACAAAAGCAACCTATCATCTCGGCTTCCATTGATCTAACTCAAAATTATTAGTTACTTTTCAAATATATTCACACATATGCACACACACCCTTACCCACACAGAAATATGCAAGTAACAGTGCCTCAACAAAAACCGTCGCAATAATTAAAATCTACATTAATTAAATATGTTCAAGCCTTTTCCTAAATGTTGTTGAATTTTAACATTTTCAAACATTTTACATAATTTGATGAAGTTCAACTCGAAACGATTAATACTACGGCATCAAGAAATTGATTTGCCGAGGTTTGGTCAGCTCGAAAGTCCAGAAGATGTAGAAAATATAGCCTTGAATTTCTTGAACTATATACGAGCTTCATTGTCTTGACATTAGTTTCACCCGATATTATTTGGTTATCTATTTACAGATCGACATTCGATACATTTCATTAACGATGCTATATAGGACCATTAAAGATAAGGTTGAGTTCTGGGAATAGGTGAAAAATAATTTGTGAGCGTTATCATTGTATTATGCAAGTGTGGAAGAACATCACATAAAAAATGTTCCCTGAAAAGCATGGCTCTTAATTTCAAATGCCTTAATATTCTAAATATGGCACGTAACGTATAATCAGGACAGATTTTTATTCCACATGTTCGTGAAGTCCCATATACATCTTTCTGTGTACATTGCTTGTAACTTAACCAAGACTTGGCCACATTTCTTATCATTTTTGATGATTCCATAACCTTGCAGTACACATTAATACTTATATGCTAGATGATCATCCTTTTCTGATCAATTCCACAACGTTTCTTTCACAATGCAATCGCATGACCAGAACTTAACTTTATCTTTAAACTCTAACTACATATGTATAAGTCTTTTTTTATTCCAAAGTGTGTCTTCAATCACAAACCCATTCGCATATTTATCTGCTGTATTTAGGACAAACCACCAGTGAACAACGATGTACACGATCAGACCAAACTGGATATAATGGTAGCTGATAAGGAAGAGGCCGTGACCAAGTGCGAAGAGACTGTCAATGAGCTAGTCAAAGTACGTAAACAACTCTACGAGGTCCAAGAGGCGAAAACGAAGGTGAGTTCAACAAAGGATAACAAATTTCTCTGAATGATAATACAGTCAAACCTGCTTTAGTGACCACCTGTCTACAAAGACCACATGTCTACAAGGACCACATTTTTTGTTTCCCTTTAAAATGGTTTCTCATTGAAGGAACCTGTCTACAAGGACCACTTTTTGCGTTTCCCTTAGGCGGCTGCTACAGACATGTTTGACATAAAGCACTCATAAGGCCACGCAAGGTGTTCCAAACCAAGGCGCCCTAATATTTACCCGTCTTTAGCTACACTAGCGATTTCGGTGCTGACTGTATATACAAGGAATTACTTCCTCTAGCAAGCCATTTAACGGCTCCGGGTCGTGAATGGCAAATGCCATGACTGAAGATCAGCGTTTTTCCAACCTGGGTGCCGCGAGACATTTTTAGTGAATTCTATTCTAGAAATGACGTGAATTTCGTGGAAACAAAGTTTTAAAAACCGGTATGTGTATTCATGAACAAATAATGTTTTAAAGATATAATGAAGCGGTTTTTTTTCTCAAACAGGATGACTTCAAGGAGAGGAGTGCCTGAAGACCTGGGGGCCGTTTCACAAAACTTGTCATCATGCAGTGACAAAATGACAATTTGTGTTATAATCTACTGAAATCCTTGCTTCTGATTGGTTATCAGCAGATTTGTCACTGATTTTTGTTCTTTGTCATTGAAAAAGGGCTTTGTGAAACGCCCCTCAGGTCTCTGGATTCGGGTGACGCGAAACTTTTATTTGTGTATTTCTTTACTGGGTGCCGTGACTATGGCAAGGTTGAAAACGCTGATGAATATTCAAATCTTGCCAAAGAACAGGACAGTAGTCTTGCTCAAGGGTTCGAACCGTATATCCACTGTGAAACCATTCGATTAGGACACATCCAATCAAATCATAGCGTAAAACAGTATAGAAGAAGCATAATAATCAGTGTGAACATTTGCATACCATATCCAGATTCTAAGCCTCTGATTGGTCAAAAGTTCAGTCATAGAATTTGCTATTGACGGCGATGACATCATAATTTCATAGTAAAAAAGATTTTTTTTTAAATCCCGCCTATATCATCATTTTTATGTGTACGACTAGGACGCAAAGACTGTTGACATATGCGCATGGCAATGAGTGATTCAACTAACTGAATCAAACTGAAACAACTAATTTAAAATTGAATTATCTTATGATTAAAATTGCAGTTAGAGGCCGAGAATGAAGAGTTAGACACAGCTGACACCTTGCTGAGGGATGAACGTGATACGGTGATGGAGCGTCTAGAAATGGCGCAAGAGGAATTGACGCAAGTCAGTGCAGAGCGATCACAGGTGAGCATAAGCTGACGCATGAATTCAGTGGCGTATGAGGTCGATCCCTGACCCACGCCCCGTCCCGTCGAGAGCATAGGAGGAAACATCAGTGAAATCTGCACTTGAGCCATGGGCACGTGTGGCCATCTTTGTACATTCCGACCACTGGTCTGGTATTGCATTATGGGTATGCCACTGGAGTTTCCTCCTCTCGTTATGGGATGTCTAAAATCTCAAAGTATTTTCTTTTCTTTTCTTTTGAAGCTTATTTGATGTTGTGACGTGAATGATCGAAATATCAGAGTAAAACATTTCTTATTTTGTATTTTGTCGTTCCGATATCGTCACCGGGAAGCATGTTTGCATAGTCCTTTAATGAGTACCGAAGTGTGACGTCATACTGGCCAAGTTGTGAAGATTGCTTGTTCCAAACAATTTTGTGCTAAACAATGACTTGGTGATCACACCAGCACCAAAGACTGAATTCGCCTTGCAATACAGCCTGTTGTTTAAATGGTTTTGCGGTGAACCTCATGCCCAGGCTCGATCTGTTGCCATGGTCGTTTTAATAGAACCAGTATCCAGGACGACGAACGAATATGACGTCAGCACTTCGGTACTGCATGGAGATGATCAATAATGACCTTTGACCTTTGAACCCACAGGCCATCTCCGAGAGGAACAGGTCTTTCGAAGAGACAGCTAGGTCCATGCTCGAACGTGATGAGCTGGTAAAAAAACTCAACAACGAGAGGCAAGCGTTTCTCAAGCAAACACGCCAGCTCTTTGAACACAAAAGTAAAGTTCAGCAGCTTAAACGAGATAAAAGGGTAAGACATGCAGGGTCCTGATCTAAGGACTCCTCCACGAGTTGTTTTGGAGGCATTGAGTTAAAGTTAAAGACCAGTTTTGGAAACGCCCCCTTCTCAAAAAATGAAATGGAAGCTTTTATTACCTATCATGTGAACGAATATGTTTTGATAATTACGTAATGATACAAATTTTGCAGAGAAACCGCCTACTAATTGATATATTTGGTAAAATGTTATATCTATTTGGACCTGATAGATATAACGCACGTGTCGCGTAGTCCCATATACATCTTTCTGTGTACAGTGCTTGTAACTGTATCAAGACTGGTTCAAATTTCTTATCTTTTTGATGATTCCAGAACCTTGCAGCATACACCAAAACTTATTTGCTAGATGATCAACCTTTTCTAATCGATTCCACAACGTTTCTTTCACAATGCAATCGCATGACCATAACTGGTCTTTATCTTTAAGACTCAAATATGTGTTGACAATAATGTCCATCAATAATCGGATTGGAGGTAAAATCGTCAAATATTATGTATATGTTTGTCAAATGTATTTATGGTAACTGAATAAACTGGGAAATGTGTAACCATGAAGCTTTACAGGCGCTAAAATTTTACCGAACAAAATTTGACATAATAATTATGTGAATATACTTTCTTTGATGCATAAATATGACTAGGGGCGTGATTTGGTAATGTGATTTCGTTGAAATGACTATTTGACTGATCTTAACTTCCTAGAAAACATATACGGAGATATAAACATAATTAGTAATCGACAAACCGTATTTTTTATCATTACATCGCATTAATAATTATGAATGATTGATGATGGTACAGATAACACAGAATCATTCTGAAGTTCAGATATGCATGTAAAATGTAAATGAAAAGCTTTGATGCAACTGCAGAATGCATTTCAAAATATCATTTATAGAGTGAATACTTCTGTATAAAATATTTAACACCTATTCATAGCTATGATTGATTGTACTCATTTCAGTTACTCCGCCAAGACGGTCATCAATCCTTAACTTTATCAGTGAGCATTGTGAGTATAGGAACTCCTATTCACTCTTAATTCCTCTATCTGTATTTCATTGCCGTTGTTTAATTACTACCAGGGTAGCTCTGTCAGTGTACTAAGCGACTTCTTCAGAGATCCTGCACAACTTGTAGGATACGAGGCGATGAGATTAAAAGATTCAGTACATTATACAGCTAAAGCAAGTTAAGCTTCTTAAAATATGAAACAAACGACCAACATATAAATGCGTATTGAAGTTGCATGAAATGATATCAAAGTTCGAAAGAGATTTGCCGATGATTGTTTTGAGATGATTTTGAACCTAATGTTCTAATCCTATCGTTGCATCTTTATTTTTGGAAATGGTCTTTTTGCATTGATGTTCCTATAATATAGTTCCTATTCATTTACGAGGAATAACTGCTGCGGTTGTTGTTTTTCCGGAGGTTTCACGTCATATATGAACGAGCCTTTATTCATGATTTAGGGATCGTCTGTTTATTTCCCTCATCATCTTGGACAACGGATCCTAATGGCAAGAGAATATTCTGCCCCCATGAATATCCCATATATGCAAAAAATTGCCTCCCTATATACCGAAAGAACCAATCATCTGCCAATAGGAGAGTGTCCCTCTAAAGATGACATTAAGCTATGATAACAAGCCATTAATATCGAATTGAGTTTTGTTATGTTGAATGTCCTTTTCAGAAAGGTACCATACCTTTATATACAATTTTTTCTCAATTTATTTGGAAGTTGTTTACCTAAATGAAAATGTCTCTTGATAAAATCACCTGTAACATATTGACTCCCTTCCCACTCATACAGGATGGCTCAAATGACTCCAAGAGAAGTTCTGGTGCCAATGAAGTCAGTTATCTCGAGGGCGGAAACGCAGGCGCACCGTCAACCGATACCGCCAAACCAACGACGGTGGCGGACGGATCGCCATCAACACAACTCCACACTAAACGTTCCATCAGCCAGATCAATCAATCCGGCTTCGATGCCGACGACGACGATGATTTTGTCGATTACGAATACCCAGTGGGGTGGCGCAAACGTTCTCAGGTGGTGTCGCATGGTGAAATCCCGGCGGCTGTGCGGGAACGGAGGGCTAGCAACGCGTCGAAATCCGACAACCCAGGGGAACTAACCAGTCGACCTGACAGAAACGAGGATCGTGACTCCGGCAATGTATCCGGCATCGACCAGGCCAATGAAAGCTCCGATAGGATCTTGGACTCACTCCCGTGTGATGTTGATGAAAAAATTGGCACGCTGTGGTCCGACTTTGATTATTCCGCATCATCCGGGTCGAGGTAGGTTAACACAACTATAATTTTCTTTCAAATATCATACAGTCCTAATGTCTGCGTTTTGATGATTATTTCTCTGAATAAAGAAAGGGCCCTGAAATAAATGGTGATCCTTTTCTGCTTCAAAGGCTTCCATTTTACCATATGAGCCGAAAAGGAATATTGTCGGCATATTCATCTTTTCTTTTACCTGTATCGCTCGTACTTGCGTTAATTGATATATTTTGGTATTGGCACTGATCCAATTATCCGCGCCATTTACTGGTGTACAATAAACGGGTATTTGATACGCAACACTTTAAGGTCTAATTTTCAACTTCGTTCTAAGAAAAGAAAAGAACAAATCAAATACTATGCCGTCCGAAGAGTATTTACAATGAAAACTGAAGCTGGGAATATCTGTGAGAATCGCGAAGTTACGAATGTAGTCACGAGATTTCACAAAATTGGTACGAGAAACGTAAAGAAGACGATCAACGGAAATTAAGATGGTCGTGTATAATATTATTGTCAAAGAGCGAGGGCGTACGTGTGATCGCAAGTATTGCGTAACAGTGTTTGGCTTCAGGCGCTGGAAAACTAGCTTGTCGTTGAAAGCATCATCGCTTGGAAACATAGGGTGCGTTTATTGACCTAATTTTTTGGCTAGAATCAGGTTTCTCAAACGTCTTTCAGGCAAATTTAGAAGGTGATAAACGAAAAGCCCTTTTTAAAGGTCTTTAGATATGGGCATATCTAAAACGCAAAAAGGTGTGTTCTGAATGTGACATACATCCAGAATCACGTTTCTGAGAGATGATAAACGCAAAGCTGTTTGAACCCCACATACAAATCGGACCACCCAGGTTAATTTCCGGTTCGGAGGCTAAGGCGCCATGTGTTGTGTACAAGCATGTGTGTGTAGTTGACCTCCGAGAAACTGTCTGCTTCCCGGGTCAAACGGCGAAAAAACAGCTGCGCAGACACAAGGCCTTTATTTTGAATCGTGAAGAGACGATAAACGCGACATCCAGCAAATCACTTTCGTATAGTGGGGTTCGATAGTGGGGTATGATAGTGGGGGTACGATACATCTAGTGGCAAGACCCAATAAACGCACCCATAGAGAACACGATTGCGTACACCCCCAAAATTGAACTCAAGGACAATTTAATACCTATATCCAATAGAAATCGTGTTTAGGATTATGTAATGCGTCATTGCAATGTTCGCATATTATTTTCAATGTGAGAGGAGGGGAATGATGTTGAAATTGCCACAGGTTAAATTTACAGAAGTCTTTGCGATCATGTTAATTAAGGAGACCTCCGGTCTCGTGAATTTGATGGCCTGCAGGTATAGATGCGATGACATTTACTTCACAAAGAATGTACACTGTAGTTCGAGCGTATGGCAAGCCGTTTGAATATTAATTTTATTCCTATTTCTTGATATCAAGAAATTATTTTCTGTTGTAAAGCAATGGTAATTCTTGATTATCAAGAAATAGGAATAAATGTTAGAACGGCTTGCCATATACGAGCGTCTGGCTTCAGGGTCGTGAAAAATTGCTGTTAAACAACAAGCAAACAATGTCAAACATTATTATCTACTTTGAAATAAAATTCATTGCTTTGTCTAATTGCAAGAAGGATGTTACTGCCATTGAAAATACGTAGCTCTAACGGCCTCCTTCTGACGATTGCAGACCAAACAAAACATACTAAGCCTATACATTATAATGTGGCCCCTGTAACGTGGATCATAATGGATTAGGTTCCTTTCTATACTGTGATATGGGGGCCTATATTTGTCAGTAATAGCATTGTCTACATACATGTAGATCATTCTTATCATACGTTGCTTTCTGTTCCTTTGTATACAGCTATTTTGATATAATTATAAGACCGAACAAAATATACCAGGGGCGCATAGTGTACATTATCATACACGGTATTTTTTTCCTTGTATGCAGAGATTCGAAACCAGAGGAGAGACGGCCGGAGGAGAGACCAATCTTGAGACCTAGTTTGTCTAGTGGTATGTCTACTGAAGTTAATGTGGGATCTCTGAAGGACAAAAAACGTCGTCCAGGACCTCGTCTTAGCAGGTACTTAACCCCACCCCTCCCTATCATTCTCTTCTCTCTCTCTCTCTCTCTCTCTCTCTCTCTCTCTCCTCTCCGGCGATCTAAGAGTTGCAAAATGCACTTTCTTACTGCAGAAGAGTGGAGATCTAAATTTTAAAGAAGATATATAGGCTCACTTCGTTACGAGTGGAATTCTGATCTGTTGCATAGTTTAATGATTTAAACCAGCCGTCTTTTGATTTACCTACACCTTGACCTTTATTGATTTCATTTCATTGAAAATTTGATAAGCAAGATTATTTTTAGAGAGGTTTAACCTATAGGCCTACGAGAAATTATGACATTAAGAATCATAACAAAGTAAACATTTTCCCAGCTTACGAATGCGGTATATGCACATATGAATATGGGATGTGCACACTTCATGTAAAATAAAACAAGCTAAATTAAAGTCATCGTTTTATATTTTTCTACCAGTTGTGATGTTCCACCATCGAACTACATGGTCGATGTCAAACTTAATAGACGGAGTAAAACACTGGGCAGTTATCCGGATGACCCCCTCCAATCCACTCCGGAACACTGATGAGGACGGTAAACTCGAAACGCAAATCTCAGATCACGTGGTCACAGGGTATTGACCAATCAGGGGCTACGATCACCTCATTAGTACCAAATTAGACACTATTCTATCTAGTTATAAAACCAGTTTACACTGGTGTAACTTAAGTCTGGGAGACACGCCCACATCAATTCACTATTAACACTATCGTGTTCACGCCAAGGCACCCATAATATGTTTATTTTGCAAACGAGTATTATTAAATTTGTCTAACTTCTCTGTATAAACGTTATAAACGATGTAAATATGTTCTTGTTTATTCAGGGCCCCATGGAAGACCACTACTTGTTGGTGAATGGGCTACCCTGTCAAAAGATTAGAAATAAAGGGTCTATGGCATGGGGTCCCTTGGCGTGGCACTAAAGTACTGTGCAAATTATGGCTTTCGTTATAGTTGTGAATGTATACATTTAGGCATCCTCTCAGCCGATGTTTTTATCTTAGAATAGGAAGGTATTTATATTTGAGGTAACTTTATCAAATCTGAAAGATTTGAAATATAATTATCAAATTATGTTATCAAATATAAATGAAAAGTATTGTTGTATAAATATTCGATAAAATCAGGGTTATTATCTTTAGTAGATAAGGTGATAGGAAATAGATTTTTGACAGTCGACGAATTAACAGATACAATTATTTAGTATGATCGTGGTGGGTGGTTATGCATGTGAATATGCCAAAATACGAATCGTTATACAACAAAGATGGAGGCAAATTATATAATATGGTAAACAAGTTTGATAATTTTAATGATTACCAACGTAAATCAATGATATATTCTAATTTGAACTTGAATAGTTTTGGGTTATCAATACATTGTATTACTGTGAAACAAATCTGTACGGAACTCATGAAATTAATTCAAAAATCATCTAAGGCGGTAGATTTCTGGTCCTCTGTAGTTATTTAAATTGAAATATGTTCGTGATAACTACTTGATTCAATTCACTTTAAATTTATGTATAATACTTTACCAACACCTGTTAATTTATTCAAATGGGAACATAAAGAAACGACTTGTGTTGTTATCATAACAAAACTGGTACCACATTTTTTTTTAATGCGAAAATATTTATCCATTATGGAATTTTATTGAAATATTATTATGTATCTCCTTTTGTAGAAATGGTAAATTCTCACTCATTTATGTTGTATATAGTTTTCATGACGGAAAGGAAAATGTTACAAATATTAATTTACTACTTCATTATGCTTTATTTGAAATATATAAAGCAACTGTTGTAAATAAATTTAATAAAACATGTAGCAACAAAAATGATAGGGACATTTTCTTGTTTATGTTAAATACAGACTAGAAGTTGAAGAAGATAAAACTAAGAAAATAGATGCGATTACTACTAATCAGATGAAGATAATTAATGATTACTTATGTTGTATATAGTTTTCATGACGGAAAGGAAAATGTTACAAATATTAATTTACTACTTCATTATGCTTTATTTGAAATATATAAAGCAACTGTTGTAAATAAATTTAATAAAACATGTAGCAACGAAAATGATAGGGACATTTTCTTGTTTATGTTAAATACAGACTAGAAGTTGAAGAAGATAAAACTAAGAAAATAGATGCGATTACTACTAATCAGATGAAGATAATTAATGATTTACATGAAATGCATTTATAATCTGCTTTCAAGTAAATACAGATATATAATTTGATTCTATTTAAACATGTGATGTTTGCTTGTTGTAAATAAGTATGTATGATGTCATTGTAAAAAAACATATTGCCTTAGTTTGAAGATATATAAATTAAAGTTCCATAGCGTTTTTAGAAATTTCTTTTTTGTCTTCAAAATTATGGAAAAGAAAGTTAAGAGTTTGCACAATCTTCGATCATTTGTTTTGCATTGCAATCATTACTTGTAGGTGAATTCTTACTAGCCTAAGTACTCCGTTCAAATAATATGTCTGAGTTTACGTATCACGAGTAAGATAAACAGTATGTTGATTTTTCTGCCGGGATAATACAAGCATCATTAATTCAAAGCTTGTGAAAAGAAAAAATTGTTTACTTTTATTTACTGATTGGGTAATAAAGGGTGTCCCCCATATCACTTTTTTCAAATGGATAATCAAGTGTCCTCATAATGTGCTTGTATGTAAATAGTTTGAAGAAGTAATGAAATATACTATTTCATGCACTTTTATTATGTAGCGGGTAAAGGTTTAATGTATATCTATATTTTTATAAGGTTTGATGATTTACTTGTCAAATAAAATGCTTAAGTCAAAGCTATTTAGTAATTTTGCGCACCTGCGAATATGCCATTTTCGTAACGTACAGTATTTGAATTTCTATAGGTCTGTCTCTCTCAGAATGCCGATTACATACATTTTGCGTTGTTAAGGCGGATAAACATTTGAGTTTGTCCAACCGAGCAACACGTTATATATATATGTAATCTGTATTCTGAATATTGTAATACAGAAATTGTAACAGTTGAATGTAATAGTTCTTGTCTAGGCATTCGACAAAACGGGTATGCATTAAAGTTGGACGAATTACGAGAACTACCTATGGAAACGAAAGCCAAATTGCTGTGGTTCTGATAAAGGATCCATACGACGATCAAGGAGAGGATGGGATAAGCCTTTAAACTATTTTTTATATGACTCTTTATCATCGGATCAGTACATAGTTTTGTATATGAGAAACATTTAATACATGAATCATTAAACAATATATTTGTATCATGGAAATTGCATGTATATTGTTTCAGGAAATAGAATATCATGAGCACTTTTGCGGAAGTTATTATCATTCTATTTTCATATTACCTTAGCTGTTACTGATCAAATTCCCAGTACTAGTGCTACATGTGTGTGTGCGCGCGCGCGTGTGTGGGTGTGTGTATGTGGGTGAGTTTGTGTGTGTATAAATATATATCTATCGCTGCATTGATCCCCATCTTCTGAGAAAAGTGATAAATTACATGTTCTGTTTTCTCTCTTTTACATTTTTAGTCCACGTTTAATCGAAAATGAATAAAGTATAGTAATAATAAACTGTAGTTGCCCGATGCAGGTGTTGTTTGTTTTAGTTTGAATGGCGAAGTCGGAAGATTATTGAGTTTTATGACGGAGTATCTAGTTCAGACCTTCTCCTTTCTCCAAAAAGATTTAGATGTACTATTTTCGACACTACATGTGTTTAGATTTCAAGAAGTCCTTATAAAATCATTTCAAAGGATGGCCTGAATCAGGATTGTATGTGTGTCATTGTTTGGTTAGTGACTAGGTGTTGACACGGACTTGGAATTCCTTTGAAATAAATTCCTTTTAAAATATGGATGATATCGATACGATATGCTAACAGCAATAAAGCTTGCGTTATATCAATCATGGGCCCCGTCTTATAAAGATTTGAGATTGATCCAATACAAGCCCTCCAATCAACCGCAAGTTTGCGGTCCTCTTTCTCTTATGTACACAGCTGTATTTGATATAAACCACAAATAAGTTGCGATTAATATCAACTCTTCCGATTCACCAAAATTATATGAAATTGAGTCTTGCCGGAAGCCACATGCTTTGTACGCACAAATGTACTATGAAATTTGATCCAAACACTTCATCTAATTAATTTCATATTTCGAATATGAGGATATTTGAAGAGCAGTCCTTTTCTTCTGAGATGTCTTATATGAAATTCTTCCATACTATCACAAAAATAGTGGCAGAGCTCACACATTTCGCCTTTCCTGGAACTCAATCTTCTCATAATTATTTTCTCAGACTTTCAGGGATGTTCTTCTTTCTCTCTCCGTCCTTTCTCAATCCCGCCTGGTCTACCGCCCGCTCAATTCCTCTTTTGTTTCTTGCTCCTAACTTCTCTCTCTCTCTCTCTCTCTCTCTGCTTCTCATATACTGATTCTCTCCAACGAATCTCAAACAGTTAAACCTGTCAAATCGGATCACATCCGAGTATTAAAAGAAAATGTGTGCTCCTCCTCCACCCCTGTGGCTTACTTACATATAAACCACAAAAACCAAAGCCACCGCTCCACCACAAAAAAAAGAAGAAAAAAAAGTGGAATCTGAAAGCACAATCCTGACGAAAGTTGCTGTCTGTGTGTGTGTGTGTGCGACTGTACGTGTGTGTATGTTGTTTTTAATGTAATGTATGATCGTATTACTTCATACTCTTGGTGCGTGGGTAGATGGGCAGAAATCAATCTCACATTGGCGTCTCTGGTTGCTAAACCTGACTGCTAAGGTCAAACAACCTTTTTGTTAATAACTTAGATGGTCTAATCTAGTGGGTGAAAAAGGGCAGACCGTTTCGCGACAAGCTTCCAGACTATTCAAAAGATACGTCAAATGTTTTGTTTTAAATGTTTTTTACCCAACTATGCCAGAAAGGGAGTCCTTGAAATGTCTGAAAGCCCCTAAAAGGACTGTTCTGGGGATATGCCAGGCAGTTCTCATGGTTACCTGCAAAGCAGCAATGCATTCCTTGATTATAGCCGATTTTATGCTATTGCATTTTCTGTGGTACACGGCATATATTTCTGGGCCAAGGGTAGAAATTGTACCCAGAAAAAAGTTCATTATTGTGTGGAAGTTCCTATTCCTATATTCACGTCAGTTTGGGGGCAAAAGTTGTAAAATAAGAAAAAAGGGGGATATAAAATCCCAAATGCAAATGATTTCATTCCCAGACATTACATGCAAGACCATAACTGCACTGCAGTATTTATTAATTTGGTATAAAATATTTTTATGTTGACATCTGTACAATAATATAGTGGTTCAAATTCAAAATTTAAAAAATTATCCATTTATCAAAATGTGCTTTCATGACATAATATATTCATTGTACAATTTTACAAATCGATCATAAAATTTGATATATCCTCTTCAATTTACATAAAGGTTTCAACATTTGTCCACATTTCTAAATGTTTGTTGCTTTGCTCCGGTCCCTAGCATATTTACATGTAGTTGTTAGGATCACTACCAACACAGGATGAAATCAATAAAAAGCACTTTAAAACTTCAAAGGTTCAACCTTCTGTATAAATCCTAACTTTCCACTGCCTTGCAAAATTATCAAATATATTCTTTTCACAGTGTTAGTTAACATTGTCATTATTGCTTAATTTAATGGAATTGAAAGGGGGGTTAGGTACCATAATATGTATGTTTATTCGATGGGAAGTGGTCTTTTCTATAACTGACATTGCATCTGTGCAAATTCATTAAAATTAATGCTATATTTTTCTGTCACATATCTACAGTATCTGTACATGAGTAGGGTTGATGTAACTGATTATGAATCAATAATTCCATTCCTGATTTGCTGAACCTTTTTGGCACACTCATGTTGTATCAAAAACTTCTTATATAATCAGTATACATACAAGGAGAAGTAACGTCTTGACTAGTTGATTTTTTTTTCTTCTAGTATAATGATATGACGGTATTATGATATGACAATATGTTAAGTATATATGTATAAAATAATAAGAAGAAGAAGAATCTAGTTTTACATCTATACCGGTAGTGCTTTAAAAATGATAATATCTACACTTTAAAGACATTATATATATACAATGGGCAATGTTAACCATACACATTCTTTACAAGAAAATTAAAAAACCTCCATGAGGTTAGGGCACAAAATATGACAACGTCCATGTTAAGTTGGTATGAGATCTTCTACTACAAAGATGAAATCATCTGTTGCAGATTTGTATGCAATTAAGATATATATACATAGTGCCCTACCAGAATAATTCCTGTTTCACTTGCTTCTCTTCAAAATATTTGCTTAACATGATTTCCTTTTTTTACCCGCGCTACATGGGCATCACATTTATATATTTAATAAACTTGGGTCTACAATAATAATAATAATAATAATAATAATAATATTTAATTTTTATATAGCGCTTAATACAAATGTCTCTAAGCGCTTTACAAATTACTATTAACCCGGTCATTGGATTCAGTGCTATGCCTTTTAAGCTAAACTAAATTTGAGCAAACATTGTTATGGTCGATAGGAGACAAAGTCTCTCCCAAAAAAAAAATTTCCTCAACCCCACGGAATGATAACCCATCAATTATCTAAATAATTCATCACTCAAAATAAATTCAATCAATTACTGACGGACCTGTGTTCAAGGAGAATCAAGGATTATGACTACATCACGTTCGGCTTTCCGTCTGGTTCTTGATTTTGTCGCTTTAGCTGCCACTGATGATGATGATGATGATGACGATGACGATGACATTGAGGAGGAGGGCAATGTTGATGATGATTGTTTAGTACCGTCATCGAACATGGAGCAGAGGAGGTCTCGCTGACCACCACCTTTGACGAAGAGTCTCATCTTAAGCGACGGTTTTGCAGGCGTAGGTAACTTGTCATCATCTGGTACCAGAGGTGACAGGACATTCTCTGCAGATGGAGGTCCGCTACTTTCTACTTCTGTAAAATAACAAAAAGAGAGAATTGTAGCACTCTATACCATATAAAGGGTTCCTTGAGGTTATCACAAAGAGAATGAGAGCAGTTTTTCCCAAAGAGCTGACAAGAATAATAACATTTGGGGTAAATTTAAAAATTCTTCATTTTTATTCAAATCTGGTTTCTGGTTCACAAGCCACTAATGATGACGTCTTTTGCATGGTCATGTCATTCATGTATAACTCCTTGCAATGGAATTGACCAGTACCTTTAAGTTTAAAGTGACTCAGGAACATTGTCGAAGATTGATGAGAAAACTGCGTAATTTTTGTATGAAATGTTACTTATTATATTCCCTCTACTGTACTAACCCTCTAACTTGTACAAAATCATGAACAAATTCTCAAACCACAAAGATATTTATGGTTTTCTTTGAAGGCGTCACTGTGCGACACCCTCTAACAGTTAATTCTCCCAAACATTTTTGAATTTTCACAACCATTTTTCTATGAATATAAGACAGGCTTTTAAAAATCATTCAACACTTAAATGTCTGGAATGGTATAATAGAGCCAATTCATTGCTTTGTGGCGATTTTACATTCCCCTTAAATGTAATCAAACTGAAATAATATAGTTGGTGGAATAAAAGAATCAATCAGATCATTTTTTTTGTTATTTTATTAGATCATTATAAATGGTCCATTTTCACTCAAACTTTCAGATAATTTTTAAGTGTACATCTAGCCGTGAAATCACTACCTTAGCACCATTTTCTCCCATCTGAACAATGTTACCAAGTCCCTTAAACATACATGCCAACATTTGAAAATCAGAAATCTGTACAAATTATGCTATTTAAAAAAAAAAGAGGAACAATCCTAACTCTCCTATTCAATACTACAGACAAATTTGTACAGGAAGAGGAACACCTGCATTAAAATGATAATTATCTTCTCCCAAAAAGAGGAATGTTCCTCTTTAATCTGAACAGTTGGCATGTATGCTTAAAACAAGCATTTGCACATTTGCAGAATGAAATTCATATTATTTGAGGGAGTGAGAGTGAGGCCCGATGAGAACAGACATACCTGGAGTAGTTGGTTGTATTTCGTTTAGGATGTTCTTCTCCTTGTGAAGAAAAGAGGGGAGGTTACCAGGGTTGAAAGCGCAAGACTTGCGATGCAGTGAGATTGTATCCAGCTTGCCTACGTACTCGCATCCCTTCCGACGAAAAGGGCAAGCCACCGTGTGATCACCAACCACGTTAGCGATGATGAAGTCATAATGTAAGTCTGAACGTCTCAAGGGACGCCTGCAAGAAAAACAGGATTAAAAATGATTTGAGATTTAAAAACAAGTTAATCCACAGATGTATGGATTAACCTTAAACAGGCCTGTTGTTACAATGAGGTGTGGAGCAAAGCTTGGAGTAATATCCCCCATTTAATTTCCGTCGGTCAAAAAATGTGTAGCTGCCATTTCTAAAACTTTTACATTAGGACTTTCACTCTTTAAAATTAGTTATCCCTGTTTTTGTTAAATATTAAAATTTGAGATCTTCATGGTTCTCCCTTTTTCTTGCTTATTTCCTCTC